ACAGACAGATAGATAGATAGATAGATAGATAGATAGATAGATAGATAGATAGATAGATAGATAGATAGATAGAGATAGATAGATAGATAGATATAACAATACAACAACTGAGATAGATAGATAGATAGATAGATAGATAGATAGATAGATAGATAGATAGATAGATAGATAGATAGATAGATAGATAGATAGATAGATAGATAGATAGATAGATAGATAGATATAACAATACAACAACTGAGACAGAAAGACAGATATAAAGAACAAACATTACAACAACTGAGACAGACAGACAGACAGATAGACAGATATATAGATAGATAGATAGATAGATAGATAGATAGATAGATAGATAGATAGATAGATAGACAGACAGACAGACAGACAGACAGACAGACAGACAGACAGACAGAGAGAGAGAGAGCAAATAATAAAACAACTGTAATAACGAACTAAATGGTAAATTCGTCCCACACACTTTTTGGGGGGCAAACATTACAACAAATGAAACAGACAAACAGACAAAAACGAACGAACGAATGAACGATCAATAGATAGACTGCAGGACTGTAGATGTTTTTGCTCTGCAGATGTTTAGTGTTTGATTCTGGAAAACAAGTGAGCTTCTCATAACTTATCTGTGTTTTTGAGAGCACTCGTGCCAGCAAGTCAATAAATGCTCATATGACAGCAAACAAACACCTCCACAAGCTCACACACGCATTCAGAAACACACCTGGAGGCAATAAAACACAGTGTGTGTATCTCCGGACTAGATGTATAGTTACAAAGATCCCTCAAAAACAATCATGTAAAATCAGACTGCTTGGAGAATGAAAAAGATAAAGACACGATAAAGGCGGAATAGGAAAAAGAAACCCAACAGATTCACAAACTTACATCCGACTGCTGGGAGGGATTTTGCGTCCGTCTCTGAACCAGGTAACCTGTGGTTGAGGGAAACAGCGAATGCGAGGTGCTGGTATTACGGCTCCTTCTCCTTGGGATACGGCTTGGGCCCGTTCCCCTTCCTCGAAACTTCCCATATCTATAGACAAACACAAAACAAATGGTAAGAGTGAGCAAATTACAAAACACGCATGTGTTAAAACTCTTATATAGTGCATATGTTAGCATTCAGCATTAAACGTCTGTCTAAATACTGACTCATAAATCCACTACAAATACAAACAGACTATAATTTCTGGTACAAGTGCCTACATCAGTAGATAAAAAAAAAACAGTTGCAGTATTAACGTTTATATTTTTGCCAGAGACACAGCAGAATTTTCCAGTGTCTTCTAGTGCCTTTTACCATCTGCTTCAGTTGGGCAGTGTTTGACAGACGTGCTCTGACACAGCGCCAGCCATCGTCACGGCTGCCGTCGGATTGGGGATGATATGTGCCAGCTAGCTATCGGCCATGACAGTGACCAGAACTGACTCATCCGAACGGACATTCACCATGCGTTAAATCAGCAGTCATTCGTATTTACACCCCTATCTGATTCAGCAGAACCTTGTTGCAGGAACACAGACACGAGTAGCTAACTTCCTGTTTATAACGTCAATTTATTCTTTCTGGACAATCCCTGAAAAAGGTTTGTAGAGCAACTTTTACTCTCAACTTGTATGTTTTAAAAGGGTAACACACCTAAAAATGAACATTTTGTCATCATTCACTCGCCCTGATGTCATTCCAACCCTGTATTATTATTACTTTCATAAATAACAAAAGCAGGTCTAAGGCAGAATGTCAGAGGAATAATGAAAGTAGTATGGGGTCGGAATGACATGAGGGGGAATAAATGAAAAAACTTTCACTTTTGGATGAACTATTTCTTTTGTTAGCAAGGAAAGTTCGAAACGAACACCATTTCGAGCTGCACGGTGTGGAAGAGATTTCAAAATCAAAGGCAGCATCTTTAATATCAAGAGCATTATTCATCAAAAAAGCTAATTACGGAAAACCACTTAAAAAATAATACAATATCCAGCATGGCAATGTCCTGCCTTTGATATCACAATGCCGTTTCCTGTGTATTGACTCCTGTTTTTGATTTCTCTCACTTCATCCTTCAAATGAAACGAAAGGTAATTGGATGTCAATTATTGCACAGGTGCTTGAAAGGGAAATGAGGAAAGAAAATAAGGTCTAAGTACTTCCATCTTGACCAGAAGTGAAGTACCTGCACATATCCTGATATGAAAGGCCATAATAAGACGCAATGGACTGATACATCAGTCAGCCTGAATAATTGGACAACAGTCGGCCATTTTTAGGTTATTAGCATGGGCTGCTAACTGTGAGCACATGGCAGTTCACAGATATGGTAGTTCTAAAACAGGGGTGTCCAAACTCGGTCCTGGAGGGCCGGTGTCCTGAAGAGTTTAGCTCCAACCCCAATTAAACACACCTGAACCAGCTAATCAAGTTCTTATAGGCATACTAGAAACTTAAAGGCAGGTGTGTTGAGGCAAGTTGGAGCTAAACTCTGCAGGACACTGGCCCTCCAGGACCGAGTTTGGGCACCCCTGGTCTAAAATGAAGATGGCCGTGTCAACTGATAATAAAACTGAGTCAATTTTGAGTAAACATTGTTAAAATACACTACTCTTCAAACATTTGAGGTTGGTACAATTATTTAATGTGCTTGAAAGAAGTCTCTTATGCTCACCCAGGCTGCATTTATTTGATTAAAATACAGTAAATCAGTAACAGTTTAAAATTGTGTTGAATATATTTTAAAATGTGTTTTAGTCCTGTGATGGCAAAGCTGAATTTACAGCATCATTACTCCAGTCTTCAGTGTCACATGATCCTTCAGAAATCAGTCTGAAGAAATAATTCTGATTATTATCAAAATTAAAAACAGTTGTGCTGCCTAATTTTGTTTTTTTTTGTGGAAACCATGACCGTTTTTCAGGATACAAATAAAGTTCAAATCAAAATGTTTCTAACATAAGTCTTTACCATCACTTTTGATTAATTAAATTTTTCCTTGCTGAGAGATCAAAACAAACATACTGAAAGAACTTTACAGCAAATTAGGCTCAAATTTAGCTACGGATCGAACAAGCATCCACGAGCAGGAAATGAGTATGGAGTGGAGCGATTACAGACAAGGAAGTTGCTGTTACTTCACTCACATACTCCGCCAGAGAGAAATCAAACTTCGATAATGACCGAAAACAGTCGGCGAGAGGTCAGTGGGCAGTGAAACTTGATTCTGGCTTGAAACACCAGAGACTTGCCACTTGGTTCAAGCACAGCAGCTGTTGCTCATGCTAAACAGATTATAAACCGGAGGAATGAAATTCATTCTGAGAGAGCGAAGTGATTGGTCGACACAACCTCATCAATCTAATGAGGAAGTTATAGTGGACCAGCTGTGGCATTGCAGAGGAGCTTTTAATGAAACAGAGGTACACCACCTCACCAACAGCTTCCGTTCCTGTGAAACACACACACACACTCACACACACACACACAATTTGACCGTCTGGTAACAATCACACATGGACAAACAAACATAGAAATCCAAAGTGGTTGAGAGTTACTATGGTTACTCACATGCCACTTGTACTTCGGTTCTCCTCTGTAACAACGCTCCGACTCTGTTCCTCACAATACACCGATAGAAGCCAGCATGCGATCTGTCCAGAGATGGTATCAAATACCTGTGAGAGATAAAAACATAGCAGGTTTACTCTTAAAACCACAATAATGACTATGCATGAAGCATGATGTAATACCCAGCTGTCAGAGTGCCTTTCATTAGCGATGCATAAGCGTTTTATGTATATTTTATATGCACAAATGACTCTCGTTCATTCTGTCACCGCCGTCCTTCTCAAAGCGAACATCTCTGTAATCTGTCAAAACCGTCAGGCTCTCACACGCATATGCTCCTTATCTTTTATGAAGCACTCCTGGGAGAATATAAATACAGCTATAAAGTATATATTTTTTTCTATATTCCCATCTCATTGTAACGACCTTGAATTCTTCAGCTTCAATGCCGAATGCAAATGTGTTTGTATTATCAGCTTCCCCTCAGTAGGTGGCGCTCTAACATATAACACAATGACTGTGGAAGTAAAAAAAAAAAAAACTGTCACAGGTTTTAGTGAGGCCTACAAGTGAATAAATAAGCAAGTACCAATAGTTGTACATTCCTATTCCGGGACCCTCATTATTTATATTGAAGCCAATATGGCAGAAAACAACTAAGACCACAAAATTTACTTTTCAACTATGAAATACTGAATTACACAAATATGAATTTGATTATAACACTAAATCACTGATAAAACTCACAGCAATGCATTTCTGCCTTTATAAACGACACAGCAAACTAAATAAATAAATAAATAAATAAAACTCTTTGAAAAGGATCAGGTACAGTAAGATTTATTTATTTATTTAAAGAAATTAATTTATTCAGCAAGGGCACCAACTGTTCAAAAGTGACACTAAAAACTTACATTTATACATTATCTTTTGAACTTTATATTCATCAAAAAAAAAATCCACAAAAAATTTAAGCATCACAAATGTTTCCAGCTTTTACAATAATAAGAAATGATCCTTGAGCAGCAAATCCGCATGTTAGAATTATTTCTAAAGGATCACGTGACACTGAAAACCGAATTAATGTTAAAAAGTTAAAAAGTTAAAACTTAAAAAGTTTTACAATCACAGGAATACATTTTCATTTTTCATTATTTTTTACTGTACTTCTTACTAATAATATTTCTATATAGGGTTACACTTTATTTGAAGGTGTCCTTGTTACAGTGTAAATATTCATTTAAGTACTGGGTAATATGAATTAACTACACATACTGTACTTACTATATGGTTAGGGTTAGGATTAGGGCTTGTTTTAGGGTTACTTGCATGTAATTATGCATAATATATTTTTATTTTAATAGTAAGTACATGTAACATGTAACAAGGACACCTTAAAATAAAGTGTTACCCTATCTACTGTAGTTATGTAATTGGCTTAAAAATGTCAAAATGGCACATTTCAATGACCTTGAATTCTTCAGCTTCAATGCCGAATGTAAATGTGTTCGTATTATCAGCTTCCCCTCAGTAGGTGGCGCTCTAACATATAACACAATGACTGTGGAAGTAAAAAAAAAAAAAAACTGTCACAGGTTTTAGTGAGGCCTACAAGTGAATAAATAAGCAAGTACCAATAGTTTTACATTCCTATTCCGGGACCCTCATTATTTATATTGAAGCCAATATGGCAGAAAACAACTAAGACCACAAAATTTGCTTTTCAACTATGAAATACTGAATTACACAAATATGAATTTGATTATAACACTAAATCACTGATAAAACTCACAGCAATGCATTTCTGCCTTTATAAACGACACAGCAAAAAAATAAAATAAATAAAACTCTTTAAAAAGGATCAGGTACAGTAAGATTTATTTATTAAAAGAAATTAATTTATTCAGCAAGGGCACCAACTGTTCAAAAGTGACACTAAAAACGTACATTTATACATTATCTTTTGAACTTTATATTCATCAAAAAAAAAAATCCACAAAAAATGTAAGCATCACAAATGTTTCCAGCTTTTACAATAATAAGAAATGATCCTTGAGCAGCAAATCCGCATGTTAGAATTATTTCTAAAGGATCACGTGACACTGAAAACCGAATTAATGTTAAAAAGTTAAAACTTAAAACGTTTTACAATCACAGGAATACATTTTCATTTTTCATTATTTTTTACTGTACTTCTTACTAATAATATTTCTATATAGGGTTACACTTTATTTGAAGGTGTCCTTGTTACAGTGTAAATATTCATTTAAGTACTGAGGAATATGAATTAACTACACATACTGTACTTACTATATGGTTAGGGTTAGGATTAGGGTTTGACTTAGGGTTACTTGCATGTAATTATGCATAATATATTTTTATTTTAATAGTAAGTACATGTAACATGTAACAAGGACACCTTAAAATAAAGTGTTACCCTATATACTGTAGTTATGTAATTGGCTTAAAAATGTCAAAATGGCACATTTCAAAACTGAATGCTAGCGTGCCGCTTTTCTCTTTTGTATACACCAGCTAAAACTTCATTACTTTAATTGACCTCTTATTGTGAAGTGGATGAAATCGGATCATCTTCCAGACCATTTTAATTTAGTCAAACCACATTTTCTCTCAGCCCGACTGACCTGAACTCAAATTAAAATGACCTGAAGGCCCATGGGCCACACATTACCGGGCCAGAACGCTCTCCAGCCTCATGGATCAATGATGCAGAGAGATAAAAGAATGAAACTGCACAGAAATGAGCAGGATAGAGGGAAGGAATGCGAGAGGGAGAGGGAGATGAGGAAGACACTGCGTTTCGATCTAGATGCTTTAAAAAGCGCAGACCAACTATGACAATAAATGGGAGAAATTGCAAACCTAAATAATAATATGGTGGAGATATGGAATGAAAATGGAATAGACAAATAGACGTTAAATAGACAAACCAGCTTTCGATAAAAATTTGAAGTGAACGGATATTAAATAGAAGCTGTACTGTACTGGCCACATACTAATATACTATATATTACAAATATTCTATAAAATATTTATATATTTATAATTATTTTATATACAAAATTATATTTTATATAATTATATTATATTATATGTATACATTTATAATGTATAATTAAAATATTAATACATTAATACTTTAAATTATAAATATATGTATATTATTATAAAACTAATATTATTCAAATTAACATATTTACAAATTAATATATATATATATATATATATATATATATATATATATATATATATATATATTATATATGCATGCCCAATACTGAGCTCCTGTACTCGTACTTGTTAGAATGCCCCGATACCAAATGCCAATACCACACAGCATGTGATAAGTGCCATATTCCGACAGTGAAACACCGACAACAGAACAACAGACAGCAGAATGGAGTTATCAGAGATTAAGGATGTCTACGAAGTATATGTATGCAATGAATATAATGTTAAACATTCAGTGTTAACACCTGTATAGTTGATGTGCGCGAGCTGATAAGCAAAGCGCGCTGAGTGGATTGAGCGCGCGGCGGCACAGATGCGCGAGCTTGTCGAGTGAATATAACTTTCTCACAGACATCACTGGAAAGTTTGTAGTTCGGTTGGATATATCAAAAAGAAGTTAGTAAAACAATGCACAAGTTGCTTAATGGTAGAGAGAGAGAGAGAGAGAGAGCGCGAACACTTCTGTTGTGTGATCTTTGATGTTCAGTCACTGAGCACATGCATCATTGGATTAAAACTAAATCGTAAAAATAAGACAATTTATGGGGGCATTCACTATAAACATCATTTATTTTCAATCTAACAGCTTGTGTAAAATGCGCTAGGCTGTACTATTCTGCACCAGTACAAATACTTGCGCGCGTTGCGCGTGTTTTGCTTGCTTGAGTGTTTGTGCATTATATGAGTGGCTTTGGAATATAAATCGCAGCACGTTTCAGATGAAAAATAAACGCGACTTCTATTTCTGAAAATATCACAGTTAGGAGATTTATAACGAGTGGTTCCCTCTAATGCTATTAAATTAAAGATGATGTACCATAGAGCAAAAAATGAACAGTGAAAGTAACAACTTGATACAAATTTGGGACCAAAAATTATTCAGACCGAGTCTGGAAAAAAAAATGTAAGTTCAGGTTTGCATGAAGCTGGATGACAGCATGCCCAGGAGACTGTATGCTGTCATTAAGGCTAAGGGTTACTATACTAGGCTATACTAACAGCTGTCAAATTTTTTGTTGATTGTAATCCATTACATACCTTTCTATCAAAGTCATCTAACATTATCAAGCTGAATTTGTTCTGACAGTTTAACTCTGAGTTCTTGTTATATTTTATTACCATTTTCGAAACTATAGCGAATAAACTGTGATAATGAGAGAAATGTTGAAGGTGTCTGAATAAATTTAGGTTTGACTGTATCTATTTGATAAAGTTAACCAACTAACATTATACATACTCTTTTGGTTTCTGTACCAAATATTTAAAAAATGTACAAATGCAATAAAAATATTGGTATCGGTACTCGGTATCGGCAAGTACCAAAAATAAAAGTATCGGTATCGGTATATATATATGAATTTGATTCCAAATATATTTTGAGGTTTTATTATACCTTTTTAAATATTGACAATGTTAACATAACTGCTTCACTGATCTCTTTTTTATGAAATTATAAAAAAGATCATATAAATTTCAGTCATTCAGACACTTTATTCTTCATCACTATCCTTAGATTCTTACTTGAAGCACTTCAAAACATACTAAATTAACTTTAAGCCAGAAACTTCAAACACGCTCATCTCAAAAAGGCAAGTACCGTATTGGCCGAATAGAAGACCACCCTGATTATAAGACGACCCCCCTTTTTCCAGATGTACCTTTTGGAAAAAGGCTTTTTAAAAACCAAATCTTGTTTTTTCTCAGTAAAACACATTTTGTCTTCAATTATTTTCATATTGCATATTTTTCCTATTTAAATTTTTGTTTTAAAAGTATGGTAAAAACTGGTCAAATGTACCAACAATCACATTTAAAAAAGATACACTTTTTGATATACCATAAAAAAAAAAGAGGC